CATATATCCGTGTACATATATCCAGAATGATTCGATTACCGATGTTTGGCCATGTGTGTTCAGTGCAGCACATTTTAATGATGTGCAAACGCTGCTCTTGCAGAATTTATCGTAAACAAAAATTCGTTAGAATCGATAGAGGGAAGAGCGTTTTCGAAAGAATTTTCTTTTCATTAAATTACACTCTATCTCTCTTAACAAAATTGTATAATCGTTGTATAATAATCGAATGAAGAATTTCAATCATTTTAATAAAGCTAGTTTTTCAAAAGCAATCAATAAATAATTCGTATCCAATAATTAATAAAATGAGTGGCACGGAAAAGAATCTATTAATAATCTTCAAACACTTTTAAATTACCCATTTTAATTTTCCATTCTTGCTCGCGAAACGAATCTTGCAAGATTAAAAAAACTCGCTCTGAATTTTTATTCTAATTATTCCAATTGTGATATTGGATTTATGATTGGATGATCAAAAGTGCAAGTTTTATTCATTATATTTTTTATTTTTAATCAAGAAAATATTTATTGAATGAAACAATTTGTTGAATTAATTATTTTAATAGATAGTCAATAATCATTCATATATTAGGTAATTAGAAATAAAACCGAAATAAATCTACTTATCAAAATTTTGTAAAAATCGTATAATTTTTTGAATCAAATAAAACAATGCTAAATAGAAGAAAATCACTTTCGTTTCGATTCGTTCGTTCCGATTGATTAACTTTCTAATTATACTCGTCAAACATTCAAATAGCGTAAAATGAAGAAAAAATTTATCTTCTTTCGTTCTTTTTTACAATTCTATCAACGAATTGCCTGTAATATTAAACTAATATTAAAACGGAATATTATGAATAAAAATGAAATGGAACATTATCTTCGTTTGCTAATAAACTCCTGTTTATTTCATTTAGTTCATATACATTAAAAGACCATTTGCTTAAGCCAGGTTAATCGAGCTTTCTTTCTATGCTTAATTCCCAGACATAATGAATAAACGGGCGATATTCTCTGTTTGCTCGACGCATAATACGCAGATACACGTGAACGATTAAAATCAAAGAGAATATTTTATTAACACCAGAGCCGGCGGATGCACGTAGGGGACACGTGTAATAATGCTCACTTGTTGGTTTAACCCATTAGTCGACCCTTACATGCTTGTTCACACATTTGAATCATCGATACGCACACGGCTACAAGATAGAAAAAAAATTAAATACATTGTTTAGTATATTCTATACAATTATTTTATCTCAATAAATAATCAAATAATTCTAATTTCTTTGTCGGATTTAACATTAATTGATTAGGATATTAAAATTTTAAGCAGAGGATGAATCACGATTAAATATTTCATTTTGTTTAAATCGTTTTAATAAGTAAAAATAATTAATAAAATTGTTCAATATTGATTTTAATATTTTTGTGCATCTAGAAAATTATCTTTGTGCATTTGTTAAATTTTTAAATGTTAAATTTTTTTTAAATGTTAAATTTTTTAAACGTGATTCGTGAATATAACTTTTCATTATTAAAGATTAGAATAGATTATTAGAGAGTTAAAATACATCTGATGTATACTATACAGTTCATTTTATATTAATTTTTTTGTAAATTGTAATTCGATGATCAATACGTGAAAATGTAAATGGTTTTAGTGCAAATATTAATTTTGATTTGAAAATTTTTATCGTGATTCATATTCATGAAAAAATCTTTCACTATGATCCATCCTCGTTGATTCAATTAATGAAATTTCTCATAATGAATTTCGATCGAAAATCATTGATCGGTTTAAAAAGAATTATGGAGAATAAAAGAATTACATGCGTGGATGGAGCTAAAGGAAATATAAATAAAATAGGGAAGAAGAAGGGAAAGGGAAAGGTGTATGGAACTAGTTCTCTCGTGATACCCTTTATGAAATATTCAAGGTATACTCCTTGTCATTATTCTGTTTCGAGCCAGCTTAATTAGCACGTAGCTAATATTTCTCCCTTACCAGAGAGTACCATACCTTTTCCTCTCTCACCACTTTTATTTCATCTCTTTCTTTCTGTTTCTCTGCTTCTCACACTGTTTCTCTTTCTATCTCACTCTCCTTCTTTTTGACTTATCGTTTGAACAAGCTCGACGACATTCTTCCGATTGTAATAGTCTTTGTTTCGCGGCCTTGAATGCTCCTACGCAGAATAAAAATAGTTTTACGGGAAATATTAGATATCCAAGAGATATAAATTTCCTCTATGAAAATTATTGCAACGTGTATTTTTTTTCATCACGTCTATTCTTGATAATTATTTTGAATTTGTCTCGAATAATTATAGATATTATAGTTGTTTGGAGGAATAATAATTAAAGTTTGAATTAATTATAAAATAATTTCAATATTAGCATTAAATACTTACATATTGCCTATAGTTGTGTTGTTTACTTCAGTAATATATTATAATTTTTATTTTATTAATATTTTATTAAGAAATAAAAAATATATTTCATTAAAAATTTATATTGTTATATTGAAATAATGATAATATTAAAAACTTTACAAATATGACTATTTTCTCTTTTCTTCAATTTAAGTTGTTGAATCAAGTCACTTGTGAGCCTCATGGCGCCACTGGTAATTATAATGCTGATTGACTTCCATGGCATTCAATTGCTAACCTTCGATGGATGTACTACTTTCCATGGATGTACCGCGACATTTATAATAAGTAATATTTCATTTTTATCTTTCATTCTATATTTTTGATTTTTTATGACTTAAGGGTACTATTTGAAATTCAAAGATAACTTACAAATATAATATATACTAAAAAAAGTAATACAACAACTCTAACCTATAATTGTGATGCAATTTGTGTGATTCTCATCACACAAAAATATATCCCAATGCAATATTAAATATTATAACAATTAGCTACGATTTTGCAATCGTTCAAAGTGATCTGCACGCCTTTGATATATTGGACGATGATACATGCACTAATCTCTGGAGGCCTGTCACACACTATACTCGTATCTTTCGAAACATGGCGAAAATTATTGTTGACGCAGGACTACCGATGTTACTGTATCGGCCGGATATAGCCAACGGAAGAGACGAGAGGAAGAATTATCTACCGAGCAATCATATAAATGCCATACGAGGAATATTCGCGACACTGATTGGCAGTTATTCCCTTGTGCTGGAGAAATTGCTTCTCATAATTTAACATTGCATATACGATCCAATGGATAATTTTACAAATACTTGAATAGAATTGATCGGATAATGGCCTCGATCCTTATTAAAAATCATGAATTAAATCCTTATCTTTGTTATTTATTTATTTATTTATTCGTTGTATAAAATGAAAATTTGCATTTATTATGAAAGAAAATTTAATCTTTAATGTGATCAAGAAATTTAAAAGGTTCATATATCTAAAAAATCATCTTATAAATTATTAAATTTACGAGGAGAAATGATAATAGAGAAAAGTACAAGTAAAATAATTTTTAAAGTCATAAATTAGTTTATTAATGTAGCTTTAATTGTCTGTTATATCAAACATTCTATTGATTTATTTGATTGATGTAAATAACACAAAACTAACAAGACGTTCATCTCATACTAGAAATTAATAATTATTGCGAATATTGTATGATTTACAAATTGATTAATTACATCATATATGCAATGAAGAAATATAAAAATTTCTCAAATAAACGACACCATTAAAGATTAAACATTTTGGATTATTATTAAATTATTTTAATATAATTGTTTTCTTTACAAAATAAAATATAAAATAAATAAATAAAAATAAAATATAATACTAATAAATAAGTTTCTAACTATAATTTAATTATTTATTCATTCATTATTCCAATTTCAATTTAAAAATAAACTTTCTATAAAATTTTGATTAAATATATCTATTAACAATTAATATTCTAATGTTTCCTATTCCAGATAATAAATCAATTTTCCAACTTTTTCATACTATTGAAATCAAAATTAAATTAGCATAAGTTGAGAACCAGAGATTATTACTAAAAAAAAAAAAAAAACCATTCTTAAACTTCTTTTTCTCTAAAAATAGTATATAGTATATTAAACTCAGTTTCTCTCTCTCTCTCTCTCTCTCTCTCTCTCTCTCTCTCTCTCTCTCTCTCTCTGTCTCACTCTCTCTCTCTCTCACTCTTTCTTGCTCTTGTTCTTGCTTCCCTAATCTATCCTTTGGCCATAGAAAAAAATATTTCGTTGAATCGCGCACCTGGTCATATTCTTTCGCTTTCAACCGTTTTTCACCGATGCTACTTACGCAAATGACCCCACGATACCTTGGCAATAATGGCCCAGTGGAAAGAATAAACTTAAATTTTTCACCTGGCACCCACCCAGTTTCCGGGGGTAAAACCATCAAAGCGATTTTACCATGTCTCCCGCCTCTACGTCAATGTTTGCGAGGCTGCGGGCGAGAGAGAACTTTTTAATTGGCTACCCTTAATTAGTTAACCAGCAAAGTCTCGGTAATTATTCTGTTTCTCGCTCCGTTTCCGTACGGCCCCGACCTGTCCGTCCTCCTCCCATCCGACCTGCTGCTTCATCGCTTTTTCCTCATCCTCCTACATATTCGTCCTCCTCCCTCTTCTCTTCTCTTTCTCTTCTTTCTTTCTTTCTTTCTCTTTCTCTCCTCGTAGAGTTCTTGTTACGAAGCTTTGGAACCGCCATCATTGTATCAAGCGATTGATATTTGCTGAACTTCGTAACGAAGAAAACGTCAAAATATGGAATAATGTTCGAGAGAAAAAAAATTCGAATATAAAATAATTTTATAATCGGGATATATATTGATGGTGACAATAATTGATTAGTATAGAACAACATATTTTATTAGAATTCGATATTTCAAAATTTTTTAAAATTTCATTATATTTAAGAAAATCACGATAAATGGTAATAATTTATGAATGAAATATCTTTTTTTCTTTTTCAGAAGGTGGAAGACAGATTGGCCCCCACGCTTGCACGGTTTGTCAAAATATCGTGGAAGGTAACACGCAGAGCAGGGCATTGTCGCGAAGCCAAGCGTCCCAGTATGGTCTGCGAGAGGATCAGATCGCACCTGGTGCGCGCGTGTGCAATACCTGTAGGTGTAAAGCAGTTAGAGGACGATATACAGCGTGTCCATTGCCAGGTTGCCCGAATTTAAACAACGCCTCAAAGACAAGGGTAAAAAGATTGCGAGCTTTACCCGCCAAGTGGCTCGATCTACCAGCTGAAATTCGTGATCCAATTATTCAAGAATTTCGTAAGTAATCAATGAGTAAATATACGAGAATAAATATATATATTGTAAAATTACATAAAAATATAAACAATTTAACAAAAATTATGCGTCGAATTATTTTTCTCTATAATTTATCGAAATATCAATTTTCAAAAATATTTATCGATAATGTAATGTTTATTCTTCAATTTCTTTTTCATCCAGAAATACCAAGTAACGCGACGAAATGTTGTTCGGCCTGCTTCAATCGAATATCTCGTCGATTGGCGCCACACCTAACAGGAAGTGCCGAGGTGCCCGAAGACTCAGCCGATTCCCTTGCTCGACAATGGACAGACGAGGAATTGGAACAGCTGAGGAGAGCTCTTCGAGAGCATGGAACCAATTGGGTGAAAGTTGCCGAACAAATACCAGGAAAGACGAATCATCAATGCAAAAACTATTACTTTGCTTATCGGAAAAAGTTAAGCTTAGATCAGGTGGTTGCAGAGTATTATCAATCTCTAGGCGAAGAAAGGAGACCTTGTTTGACAGATGAAGAAGAAAGTGGTAGCAGTACGAGTAGTTGTGATGAATTGGCAGTAAGTTGTTGGTTGATGATAATATTTGAAAGAATATAAGTTTAATTTACATATATTTCATAACCAGTGTATTAGGTTTTTTTAAAAAATTATAATATATAATTATATAAGTATAATATAAATTATACTATATTGTAAAACAATCCATTCAGAATATCTAAAATATTTAAACATTTTTTCTTTTTTTAGGTCCATGATTCAAGCGATACAGCTAGTGCAGGCAGTCCAGCGAACAATTTGTCCAGTGGTACACCAGGTACACCGGGTGCCACAGCATCCTCGAATCTGCCGATAGCTTTCTCGCGATCGGCAGATCAAAAACTTGGTGAGAAATTAGCGGATATTGCTGTGGTATCATTAGTACCGCCGGTGAGCATAGGTCCGTCGCAACAGTCTTCCACCAGTGGAAGTAGCAATGCTGCTTCAGCTGGTACTAGAGAAGATTATGATAGCTCCGCCACGGTAAGACTAAAGTTTTTATCCGGTTGACAGTTAAGAAGGAGATACTAGAGTAAATTATATAGCTTTTATAGTATTTGTGATAGAAACATTTTAATGCGTTTCTTGCTACATGAATCATAATTAATGTTAATATTTAAAGCATTTATTAATTTTATTTTAATAAGATTATTATATTTTTATTAAATGCATTTATTTTCTTTTTTTATATATTTATGTATTTAATAATTATTTTTTGAAATGTTATATTTTTAAGACACATTTTGCTATGTATATTTTTATATATGAATTTATAGTGATTAAATTTTTTATAATTGTAATTTAATTATTTATATAAAATTTATATATAAAAATTTTTTCATTCCCAAGGATATATGTATAATATAAGAATATTTTATTTAATTACTTCATATTATTTTTTCTTTTATATTAAAGATTATTTTACATTAAAGAATTATCAAAAACTTATTTAAAAATTGAGAATTGATTAAATCATATTAAATATAATATATTTAACAATTTAATTATTTATTTCAATTATCCTGTAGCATTTAAACGTATTAAAATGATCCCAATGCATTTTATGTTTTATTTTCTTATTTTGTTTTATATTTAAATATAGAAAGAAGTTTGTTACTTGATAGGGCCGTCTGATAGAGGTTCGCTGATTGTTTCAGGAGACGGCGGACGAAGGTCAGGGAGGTACCGATTTAGAAAATAATGGTGTGGTTGTCACGTTGACAACTGCTAATAATCCCACATCATTGCAACAACAGCATCAGCAATCTCATCAACAAGTTGCACAACCTTCGCATTCACCACCATCCACTACTAGCAACAACTCCAATCCCCTTACTGTGAAGGATCTTATGCTTGGTGTTATTGAGATGCAATTGAAACGTAATCCTAACAGTCCAGCTGGTACCAGTGGTCCTTCAGTATCAATAAATTCTGGAACACCAACGATATCGAGCATATTAAAAACGGATCATAGAAATGATATTACATTTGTAAGAGAATATAAACCGACATCAACTATGGCAAATACTAATATGTCAAGGGATTCGAATTTGGCTACGTTGTCGGTGGTATCCGGTCCTCACCATGGTCATCGTTCTGCTTCTAGTCCTCAGCAAATTGGTAAGTTATATGAAAGAATATTATTTTGTTACAAATTATTTCTAAAAACTAGTGATTCTTTTTTTTTTTTTTAGAAATTATGTTGAATTAATGAACTATGAAATAAATTTGTACAATTGTATATAAAAATTATTTTATTAGGTCAAATGCAAGCAACAATTACTCCCTGTCCACCCGCGCCATCGAACAATCAGTCATCTACATCAGACATACTTCCAAAGGAAGGTTTAGTTGTGATGCAAGTACAACAAGCATTACGGGAAAGCACTGAGGGCACTCTTGATTTAAGCATTAAAAAACCAAGACAACAGCAAGAATATAATCATTCCCTTCAAACACTTCATAAACCACCGACGGTCACTCTCTATCGGCCAGAACCTTCGAGTGCTTATTATCATCCTCATGCCCATGCGGAACAAGGTCGTGGCGCCAAAAGTCCATTGGTGTACGCGTCGTCTCCACGACCTCAAGCACCTCTTACACCTAAAATGAATAAAGTTGCAGTACCACCACCACATCCTAAATTGTCGCCTAAATTGAGCGCAATAGTGACAACAAGCCATAAAAGTGGTTCTATTACACACGGAACTCCTGTGTCTAATACACGTTATGAAGGTCTTCTTAGACAGATGACTCCTCCAGGAAATCCTGGCAGTGCAGCTGGAACACCTAATTTGACTAGCGGTGCAGGGACTGTTAATGCACCTAGTAATCAAGGACCTAAAGAAACAGGATCCATAACTCAAGGAACTCCTGTTCATCCCTATGTGGATAAGCGTGCACCAATGTATGATTATCATAGAACAATTAGGCATTCACCTGTAACAACAGGTAATATTCCTGGTCAAGGTCAGACTCAAGCCGGAACAGCAGCAGTAGTGGTGACGCATAGCAATCAATATAATTCTTATTCGGGACGACCACCTCCTAGCTATACTATGGAGCAACAGCTATCGTCAAGACAAATTATTATGAATGACTATATAACCAGTCAACAAATGCATGCGCGAAGTCGAAGTGCTGGCACGTCTGAAGGTAATAGTAAGAATGAAGGACCTTCGACGTTATATTATACCAGCACACCCCCACCTCAAACCCATACACAACCTCGTCAAGGTGTGATACAAAGGCACAATCCGCAAAAGCAAATTCATTATCCGCCACCACCACCAGGACTGGAGGCCTTTTCCAGTTTGGTGGATGTTGCTGTACAGCAACCAAGTCTTCCGGTTCCTCATCCACATGGACATCCTGCATCTGGGAGTAGCAGTCACGAAGGTCTTGGTAAGACCATGGCAGACAGATTGTTGGCCGACCGTTATGGGGATAAACATCGTTTAACTATGCATCAAGATCATAGAATGGCAGTAGCTCACCATCATCAACGTGATAGAGAAAGGGAACGAGATCTAGTTCATTTGCGCGAGAAGGAAGAATATAGATTACAGAGAGAGAAAGAAATTCAACAACAGGAACATAGATTGGTTCAGCAAAGAGAAAAAGATGTACAACATGCTGAACACAGATTGTCAATACAGCAACGAGAAAAAGATATACAACATACTGATCATCGTCTTACCGTCCATCAACAAAGAGAAAAAGAGATTCATCAGCAGATGGTAGTAGCTGCTGCTCAACGTGAAAAAGAACATCAAGAACATCGTTTGGCTGTACAACAACAAAGAGAAAGAGATCTAGCACATTTACAACAGCAACAACAACAACAACAGCTTCAACAACATATTCAACAACAACAGAGGATGGAGGTTGAAAGAAGGCAACATATGGCTCAATTGTACAGAGATCAACAGCAGCAACAACTTGATAGGGATAGCCGATTAATAAATAGTGGATTTACTCAATCCTCTAGGCTACAACAACCGCAACAATCCCAGCAACAACAACAACAGCAACAACAGTCATCTTCTAGACAAAACCAGTCCTCCAATCAACAACAAAATGAATCAGCATCTACATTAACTGCTGCCAGTCTGATAGATGCTATTATAACACACCAAATTAACCAAAGTGTTGAAAATACTGGTGGAAATGCCCAACCACAACGACCTGGTGATCGTCTTTTCCAGGTAACTTGTGTTAGTGTTAACGATCAAATATTGTTTATTAATGTTTTATATGTATAAAACGCAGATATGCCTTATACAATAGAAAATTTTTTAGGGATTTCACCGAGAAGCTCCAGTAGAACCTAATGGGATGGCTCACAGTCCTGCTGGCGATGGAAATGGTGGCAACAGTGGAGCTGGGAATGCAGGCGGCAATGGCGGAGGTGGCAATAAACCTATTACTCTTGGAGAACATGTTGATCATATTGTTTCTAAAGATTATGGTCCTCCACATTCCTCGTATAGATCGTATAGTGGGTAAGTTTTCAATACAATATAATTTATTATTTTAATTTCATATGCAAAATTTATATTTAAATAATAAAATTTTGAACAAGCAATTGAGAATGGAAAAAATTGTTTATTATAGCATGGAATATATCTATTTAATATATATAGTTTTTATATAATTACTTACATAAAAATCAAATTTTTTTATATTAAATAAAATTAATATATTATACAAAGATTATTTTTTATTTAATTAGATATCAAATTTCGGAAGATCAGTGGAAGAGACGAAAAGCTAACGAACCCGATTCCGTGAAGACTGGAGATGAGCGTCAAATAATTCGAGTTACGCAACAACAATCGCAACAACAGCAACAGCAGCAGCAGCAGCAACAGCAGCAGCAGCAACATCAACATCAACAGTCAGCAGCATCGGTAGGAAAACAATCGTTCCATTCAGTCGAACCTGTTTCACCTCCAGAAACAGGTACTAATCACTATGGGCGTCGCCTATACGAAACAACCACTGCCACATCGACTTCCGGAACTCCTTCCAAGCCTCATCTGTCACCTTTGGATTACGTAAAGAATAAGATCGTTGAAGTGATGCGTACATCTGAAGATGATAAAGGGGGTAATACAACCGATAGAAATGGAGGAAATATCACAAGTGCAGAAAAAGATGAGAAAATTGGAGGAAATGTGGAAAGTCCCTCAAGTGGAGAAATGATGGTGGATGAGACACCAAATAAAACTCCTCAACCACCTGCACCAGCGCCTACTACAACTTTTTATCCGTTTAGTGCGTTAGGCGTTCATACTGGCCCACCTCCTGCACCGCCACCCCCAACTTCTGGATCTGCTTCTGTGACAAAATCTGAACAAATGCAAGCCGAACCAGCACCATTGCTTTCTGCGCAGTACGAGCCACTTTCTGATGAGGATTGATAGTCTAATAAGTTAGCAACGTGTGCTAATCTACACGCTGTGGAAATGTTCTTCTTAGGGTATTTATGCAGTTTGTTCATACTGGACGGAAGTCTTATTCAGACTACAACAATAAATATCGAATATTTCACGATTACCAATGTTTTTCGGGCGTTAGCCATTGCGTTCTAACTGGTCGTATCTAATAATTTTTCTAATGATAATTGAATCGAAAGAATTTCTTATTTCGTTCCATTTCGTTCGTTTGCTCACTTTTTTCTTTTCTTTTTTTTTATCACGAACTTTATCGTATTCCGAAATGGAAATTATAAATACGATGGTTTTAAATAGAGTTTATTATTTTATAAATTTCATATTCCGTCAATGTATTCTTTTAGTCGAGGATCGTTTCCGTACTCTCAGTGTACATGTAAATGTGATTATTTTATGGAAGCATTATTATTTTTTTAATGCTCATCCAGCGTACGAGAAACTAATTAGCTGCGTAATTTTAATTATTAATTGATATTTTTTTACGCATTACTTATTCTTCACGCTAATATGTACGTAAACGTTGTGTATAATTATCAGCTAGATTAAATATAATTATTTCCATTTTCACCGCCACTTATTTTTGTTTTTTAAGAAAATACTTTTTTTTTAGATATCGTTAATTTCTAACATGGAGTTGTAAAAACCATGAGGATCTTTTAATTTTAAAACGACACAGAACAATCTACGCATATGTTATAAAATTATTAAATCTTCTAGTACATATACAGTACATATATTGGATCGTGATATTTAATATTTTTTTAATGAACTTGAAAAATATATATATGAAATATTTCTAATGCATTCAAAAACTCGTGAAAATGTTAAATTATCATTCTAAACATTTTTATGTTTATATATAGAAAGAAATGTTCATCGTACAAAAGTTCTCGATTCTTTCTAAGATTAGAAACAAACATTATCGAAAAATTCGACCTGTGGAACGTCCAGGCTAGCCCAAGTTTACAATGGAGACGCTTTTTTGTATATAATGAATGATGTATAATCGTTAAAAAAATGATACAACGCTAAAAAGGCATACGTGTTTTTATTTGGAATGAGTCTGTGATGTGTCTGGAATTATAAAAAATAGCTTCAACTGTTGTACCAGTGCGAAAGGCATATTAGCCTCAAATTTGACAAGGAGTCAATATAATTGACGTAAGAGACATATGAAATGCATTCTCGCACATATTGACAGTGTACTGTCTTAAAGAGATCACTTTAAATATTCTCTCCTTGGTGAAGTGGGTTTTAAACAAAACAACAAAAAAAAAAAGTATAATTCTAAGTGTTGTACATAGTACACAATATTAATTTTTAAGTTGAACAAGTAGGTATATGATGGCTAGTTTAATCGTATGCTATATTGTAAGAATCTAGACTTAGTATAAGTGACGTAGCTAGCATTTAGGAATTAGACGCCATGAACTGACTAGGGAAAAAATTTCCCGAACTACGTTCTCTTATTAATAAAAAAAGAGATAAAAGAAAATATATACAGGCGATTTTGATTGATGGAAAAAATTATCATCCATCATAAGCGAATGGATGTGAATTTTATTTTATTTGATTGAAATTATAGAATCTGAATGTACGCTCTGACTATCAAACAAACAAAATACATTATGCAATTATACATATTACAAAACAAATTACATTTTTCACTTATTCACACATATATACACATGCATACATCGGTGAATACACATGTACACAAAAAATTTTTATATAGCCTAATTTTATATTTGTATGCAAACGTAACTTCAACCATGCGATTTGCTCCTTCATTTAGTCACGCGACACTCAAAACGAGCCTTAGTCCCTTTGACATAAGAAAATTATTGCTTTTTATTGCAACATTTGCTGCACCGTAAATCGCTTCTACCAAACGTGTTACGATATACATATACATGCATGTATGAATGTATGTATGATGAATGCATGTACGATGGATGTATGTATGTGTGCATGTACGTATGTATGTATGTATATGCTTAATATATACATATATTTAATATATATATGTATTTTCTCGTACTTTATTTCAGTATGCACTTTTGTGTGAGCTTACGAAGCTCTTGAGAAGTAAAATACATTCGGTCAGATAATGCGAGTGCCTCTACATTTGCGCAGCCTATTGTTATAAAATGAATATACATAATTTTGTTATCTTTATATTATGGGTCGCGGTAATATCATTTTCGTTTCGTTTTACGTATTCCATTTCGTTTTCGCGAGGATCATATCGGAGGAGTGTCCAATATATATGTACAAACTGCACACATGTGAAATGTGTTCGATAGAGAATGTTTAAATCATAATGTTGATAAAATAGAATTCGTTTACATCTATATAAATACATATATATATATGACACATATATATATGTATATATGTGTATGTATGTATGTATGCTGCGACACACGATTGTTCAGTGTATCGGACAATGTCCAAGAAAAAAAAACAAATGTCTCGAGACCGATATTATAAAAAAAAAAGATCTTATAAAGCCTCCTTGATATCGATCACGAGTTGATAAAATAATATAATTTTGAAATTTGAACAGTTCTGTGAAGTGTGTTATTTCTTGAACATTTCTTTTAGCGATTTCATTTTTCTTGAGAACAAAAAATGGAAGAAAAAGTTTTCCTATAGACTTAGCACAGGAAATACTCCGTAGTTTATTATAAACAGTGGTATATATATCGGGACACTTCAGGATTGCGAATTCGTTGTTTACCTCTCGCGAGTTACACGTTACCGTCGTTTATTTTTAGAAAGAAAGGGAGAGAGAGAGAGAGGGAGAGAAAGAAAAAACGAATGAATGCAAATAAATCGTTTGATAAAACTGTGTCTGTAAATAAACAAACTATTAACCTTCGCTTCGCCAGTCTCATGTTAAGGTTCTTAATATCTTTTCAACTTATGACTTCGAAAAAAAAAGAACTTCTGTGTTCTATATCGTGATTTTTACATATTTTTAAACAAAAAAAAAAGAATCTTTAAAGATCTCAAAAAACACGTAATCATCTATTACATCAACATACTGTCCTTTCTCATATTGTTATGATTATAGTAGGGATTGTGTCGATCGAGCAATTATATTACGTTAACCTGTAAAAAAATTATGATCGCCATCATTATTATTTTGCAATACTCGGCATTATCATTATTTCACTACATAGTGACTGATATTATTTCGATCATGAAATCATGAATATTAAACAAAAGAGATATAAAAGAAAGAGATATAATCTGACGTAAATTCTTTTCTAACGCTTAATAGTAATCTAATATATCGTTCTGTGCAACTTATCAACGTAAACGATATTTCAAGTGATGTGTGTTATAAATGTATCGATCAGAAGACATTTTCCCACTATTATTTTGATAATCTGTCTTCATGCGAAAAGCAGTCGTGAAAAAATTAATCACATGATTTGTGAATGGAATTATATATATATATATATAAATATGCGTATTATAGATTCAGTTTCTCAAAAAAAAAAAAAAAAAAAAAAAAAAAAAAAAAAAAAAAAAAAAAAAAAAAAAAAAACATGGAAATTTTTCAGCCTCGCATAAGATATACAGAGCATTTATTTTAGCCGATTATAAAGGTAATTCACAATCAATACAAATTGTATCATTACAAAATTTTTATTATTACACTTATGAAAGAAAAAAAAAAAAAACAAGAAAATTTTTTTAGATTATACAAAATCGGAGTCCTGAAGAATACCGTGTTTAAATGCTTCCACTAAAATAACGAAAAGAGAAATAACATTATGGGAAATTAAGTTAAAACGAATAAACGGAAAGGTATAATGTGAACAGCGATTTTTAAATGCGATCACCCGCAATCCGATTGTACTTTTCGAAGAGTGCCCCCTTGACGTTTCTCTGCTTTCTTTTTGCAGCAATTGAAGCGATTGAATATATTTACATTTTTCATTTATCATTATTATTAAATTCCATTACCAACATAGTTCGATCTCTCCAATTGTGATAAGAAGAAACTTCCTACATGTACATTTACATGTTTGCGTTGCATCAAATCTAAACTCCACAAAATATTATATATGTATCGAAAAAAATGTTGAACTCTCTTTTTGTGCTTTAATCTTTGTACATACGTATAAGTACGATGCAATATCGCAATCACATGTAAAAATATTTTCAAGATTAACGTTTGTTCGAATGATATTGTTGTATGTAAATGGTGGAATGCCATGCCGTACATTAGACAAAATAATAAAGTTAGAAAGCGGAGTACGACAATGGCAGCCCTCTTTTTAAGTACTTTTTAGCAACGTAAAACATCAAATGAAAATAAGAATATATACACAAATACACAGACACGATAAAAAATAAAAAGAAAAAAAAAAGAAAAAAAAAAAAAGAAACGAATATTATCGTTGATATGACAGGCAAATCACACATCTAGACTATTCTATAGACTAGAAACGACGTAAGGTATCGATATAAGACGTGTGTATGTAAGTACCTACTCGTTTGTAACCTGAAAGAAGATCGATATCTATCGATCGATCTCTTTCAAGTAAAAAGTCTGTACATAGATAAAGAGAAGAAAAAAAAAGGAACGAAATAAAACACGCCGAGGTACTCAGCTCCCTCCTAAAAATATTGTACTATAATATTAATAATAATAATAATAATAATAATAACAATAAGAATAATTATTATTATAATAATTATAACAATAATAATAATAATATTAATAATAATATTAATAATAATATTAATAATAATAATAAATAATAATAGTAATAACAATGATGATGATGACGATGATAATGCTTACAATGCGGTCGTGCAAAACGCGAGAAACTAAGGAGACAAAAAGTTAAACGAAACGAGATTTCAAAAAAGAAGAAAAAGAAAAAAAGAGGAAGGAGAAGTGAAATAATAATTATTAAATAAATAAATAAATAAATAAATAAAAAAAAGGCTAAGAAGCGATATTACCTATGAAACCCGCTATTAATGCGATTAATTCAAATAAATTAACTACAATTAATAGCGAGCGAGAACATACCACGCCTACAGTAAACTACAGGTGTAGCATACACGATAATATTATTATCAAAACAGTTCAATGTAAAAAAATTGTTATTTTTGTTGAAATAAAAATCACCTCCGTTATAATAACGAGCAACCCTTTTGACTCTTGTCTCTAAATGCTTCGTGTTATTTTCTTATATGGCCAAGCATGATGGATATACAGAGCGTACATGAACGTTTTTTTTTAATACTTCAGTGCCGTACGAAATTCAAAGTTCCTGGTAGATTAAAATAAAACTGAAGTTTAAAAAAAAATTAAATACAAAAATTATATCGAAATATTCAATTAGAAGAAAATCTTGATTACATACCACAAATTTATTTGTATCTTCCTTTATTTCATATTCTTAATTGAAAATTATAATGAAGATATTTCCGGGGGATCATTGATGACTCGTATACAATGATGAACTTATTAAGGATTAATGAATTTTGAAAAATATACATATATATATTAATTTTAATATTTAATACGTGTTTTTTTGAAATAGATAAAAAAATATATGATGGTTTAATTGTACAGTTAATCATTTAAAAATAAGACGTAACGATATGTCATTTTTTCTTTATTATTAAATATCGTAATATTTGACTGAAAGAAATACATATATACTTATACAAAGAAAAAGATGTGTCACGATTACAAATGATCGTACCTGTCCAAAATAATGGTACTTATTATTAAGATAGGAACTGTTTATCGAACAAATAAAAACTTAATAATTAATAATTAACTTAATAATTATCTGTATTTTAACGTCGAAATCGTATCTATTTAAAGCGACGATTATTTATAATTTATTCTATTTTATTTTATATAGAAAAGGCGCGTACAAAATACATGATCAGTAATACGAACATAATATTTCTTTCATCATAATGAGCATTTTATTTTATTTGAATATACATGAATATACATGTGTATTTGATATCGCTCATAATTATTTTTAAAATAAGAGATTTATATTCTAATTTTGTTTAGCAGCTTATTTGATGATTTAATAATTTTAATTAAAAACAATAAATGATGTGATTAAATGAAAATTAATTTAAGGTTATTCAGACAAAAAATATAACATATTAATTCATTCGAGTTATAATAATTATTTAATTTATATAAAAACATTAATTTTAATTTTTGTAAGTACCAAAATAAAAATTTTCTAAATATCAATTTAATTACTATTAATAATTTTTTTTTTTAATTAAAAAGAGAAGTAATTACGGAATTTTGTAACGCTAAATATTAAAAACAAACAAAAAATATATTTTTTAGTAAAATGATTCGATTTAATAAAATTATCCAATTGATTATGAGCAATATATTATGCTAATATTTATTAATTATTTGTGATTATAAAAAAAAAAATACGCATTTTTTACTTAACATTTGATATTTATTACAAAACTTACATACACAAAATAATAAGATAATAAGAAGCACTTATATGCGAAAAATCATAAAAATATAATTAATAAATAAAGTTAAGGTTTCTATTCCTCCTGATAAACTTTTTTTTATTTTTCGTTAAAATAATATTTTTATTCGTTTTCGATTTATTCAATTTTTTTTTAATATTAATTTATTACAACTATTAATTGTATTCAATATTTATTCATATTAATTATGTTCTTTATGATGATTTTCTTAAATTACTTTTATTTCTGCTTAATATTATGAAAAACTATTTATTAATTTCAGTTTTGAAAATCTTTTCATTATTTTTAAAATAAGAGATTTATATTCTAAATCTCCAATAATATAAAAAAACGAATAATAAAAGATAACATTTTCTTTATAATTTTGATAAAATATCTTAAATCTTTAAAAAAAATAAAATAAAAATAAATGACTAATATTTTAATATTTTATTTTAATATTTTATAAAATTATTCTATTAGCTTCTTAAATATTTCAATGATAATTAAAAAATATAAATTTAAATTTATTTTTTTGTATGATGAATCATTTTAAATAATTTCAATTATAATTATAACGCGTAAGTATTCTTAAAAAGAAAAAGACAAAATGAGAAAGAGCAACAAGTTTTTACAAAACTTATTTTTTTTATTTTTATTATATATAATCTAACAGTTCGTTATTTAAAAATAATTTAATTTTAAATGTTGTTTCATATGAAAGTACAAAAATAAAGAATTTACATTATATTCAATACTTTCGTTGCATTTTGTGCGTATTTAGGGAATTTGATTATTAAATATATATATATATATATTTATATAATAGTATATATATATACGATTAATATATAATATAAAAACAAAACAAATACAAAATAAAGCAAAAAATAAATTGAATATTTTATTCGATGAAAATAAGGAATAAAGAATATTTGCAATTTTTTTATATGTATTAATCATAATAATTAATATAATTAGTGATAAAATATAATAGATATACTTGTGCATGACACAAATCTAGATAATTATTAAAAATACTAGAAGTTTATTGTTCTTAAAGTAACAATTAATGATGATACAGTTTCTCTACTGTTTCAAATGATATACCTCATGGCTCTCTCTCTTTCTCTCTCTCTCTCTCTCTCTCTCTCTCTCTTAGGAGTATGCTAAAATGTACTCTCAGAATTATAATTATCAAGAAAAAAAAAAAGAGAGAGAAATTTTAAATAATTATTCAAAAAAATTCTGTAACTTTACATCTTGTACTTTAAACTATAATTTCTTTGTACAAGGATTATACTTAATATTTTATTATAAATGTTTATATATGTTATATATATAAACATTTATAATAAAATATTACATATATATTTTATATATGTTATGTTTTATATATGTTTATATATTATAAATTCAAAATTATCTTGATATTTTATTTTCTTTCTAAAATTAAGTGTATTTTTAAATAAATTTTAAAAATATAAAACAATAAATTCTATATTTAGAATTTTTTTATTTAGAATTTGAAATTTAGAACTGATTTTATAATTGAAAGGCACTTTTAATATTTAATTTTCTATTAATTATATTTTTCTGAACTTCTATTCTAAAAACATATATATATTGAAATAAATATATAATATATTTAGTTTCATTTTATTAGTGACTAAAATATTTATAGATTTCACAATTAAAATATCAAGTTGTGAAAATCTTTATACATTTATAAATGTAGTCAAATTAGTTGTATTAATAGTTTGCAAATCAGGTACATGAATAGTGAATTATAAATACATGATAATGAAGTGCAGTAACTTATTAAACAAAAATTATTTTCGAAGACAAATCTTCGATAATAGTATTTTTATCAATAATACTTTATATGTATTATAATGTTAATAATAAAACATGTTTTTTTCAAAAATAAATGTTATGAGTAATAAAATATTACTCTAATATATATTTAAATATTGAGAACATTGCAGTGTAAAATATTCTATTGCAATTATTTTTTTATATTTATTGTAAATTCATAGTAATATTTGTATTTATAAGATGCAATAAAAAATCGTATGTTTAAATTAATATAATTTGAATATGTTTATATTAGTAAAAAATGGTTAAACATTTGAATAATTAATATTACTATTTGAATTATATTCTTTTTGTTTATACTTGTATGATATTTAAATGATTATTAAATTTTTTATGTAATTTATTATTATAAAAATATTTGTTCTTATATATATATATATATATTTTCAAAGAAAATTAAATTAGAAAATATTATTTTTCTTTATTAGTACAAAATATTATCAAGTGTAAAATTATTTATTATTGTCATTAATTTACTTTTTCTGTGCAATATATAGAGATTTTCTATATCACAGTATGCAATATATTAATATTTATTTTAAATGCTTAAACTAGCATCTTGTTTATTTATCTATTTTTATAGAAAAATTTTTGCTCTCTGCTTATATAATGGCAAGATTTCAATTTCTGTTACATTAGAAAATATTTAGCAAAAAATAAATATATGAAAACTAATTATAATAAGATGTATAGAAAATATTCCATAAAATAGCAGCTGTCATAAGTACAGTATATGTAATAATACTGGCCCACCACACAACTTTTTCCCATGTTTTAACTTCAAGATTACGCAATACATTTATACCTACAAGTAAGCCCGCAATGGCACCAGCAAAATGAGCAACATATCCAACTTGGTCGTTGGTTTCTAATACATAACGATTATATATTGCTTGACTAACGTCAACAACCGTTACGACAAGGAATACTAATAATTGTAAAACAGCAAATTCCATTTGCGACCAGTTCATTAAAATGGTTGCCACGTGAGCAGTAATTAATGCATATACACCACCTGATGCTCCTGCTAAATATACTGTAGGATCTGATACAGATGTACCAAGAGATCCTGCTAAAACGCCCGCTACATATATAATTAATACTCTCCACCATTTGTGCACCATTTCCAATGGAATACCTAACATTATTTGCACAAGTAAGTTTACCACTAGATGAAATACCCTGTGTAAAAAAAAAGTCTTTAATTTCTTAATCATATAAAAATAGTTACATTCAATGATAATAAAAAACAAATACACACCCCACATGTACAAACATATATGTTAAATATCTCCATGCTTCATATCTTTTGTGTGGATTATAAATAAATAATGTAGCTGCTGGTCCTTCAACAGAAGGTGATTTATATACAATTACATCATATAAAAATAAAATAATTTCTAATATGGAAATAATTATCATTGCTAATGCTGGAGGTTTACAACTATATTCTTCTTCATATTGTCCATCAGTGATATCACTAGACCGTGCTATTTGAAAAGTAGTTGGTCTTTGTGGAACCATAGATTGTACATATCGTTGCACCAAGTGACCAAAAACACCTTGCATATCTTTTCTATGTATCTACAAAAAAAAATAAATTATCATAAATACTTGAAAATAATATTAATATAATAATTAATTTTTTAATTACATAAGTGAAAATATAAATAAATAATAATATATAAATAAATAATATATATAATAACTTTAAAAACATAATTGTAAATTGTAAAGAACATAATAAATTTAATATAAATTTAATATAATATACAATAAAATAAAAATACCATAGCTATAAATTCTGGAAAATCTAAATATCCTGAATCATCTAGATCTGCCTTACGCATAATCATATGAACAACTCTGGTTGGAATATCATTGGAATAAGAAGAACTACGTATCATAGCTCTTAATTCCTGATATGTGATTTTTCCATCCCCATCTAAATCATATTTTTCAAATATAGCTTTCCAATGCTGAAAATGTCAAAATTATTGCAATATATAGAAAATCAAATTTTTTATTAGATTTATTATACATAATATTTATAAAGGTTATGACAAATATAATAAAAATTATAAATATAATTTCTTACAGAATTATTATATTGCAGTGGTATTGTTATAGCAGATTCTCCTTCTTGATTACTTCCCATTCTAATTAATTTGAAACCTCTGTAATATATAAAATGAAATAATTAATAATAAATATGATAAAACTATTAATATTTAATATTATATATAAATTCTTATTTTAATGCTTCTAAGTATTATTATAATTATTTCAATTAAAAAAAAATTAAATAAACTAATAAAGAATTAAATAATGTGAATTAATTTATCTTTGTTAAAATTAATAACAAAAATATACATTAAATTTCACATGTATACATAAAGAATTAAATATATTGTACCTGTATTTGATTAATCACTAAATTGCACACTAAATATATAAACTGTAAACGATACAAGTAACATTTACTTAATACACGTGCAACACACAATCTATAAAATTGTTTCTTCGTTTAATCATTATGAGTAGATTCGTAATTAATTTTTCTTTAGCATTATTCATACAAATGATACACATTTATTTTATCTTATCAGATCGATTATCCGGAAAATTGACACAGAAACCTTGCGTAGTGAACGATTGACAGATATACAGTTGAATATGTATTTTATATCCGCGTGATTTATAATTGTATATTGGCATGTTTCATTTATTTGAAAAATACCAATGACCTTAATACCTGTACACGAGATCAAATAAATTTTAATCAGCAATGCAAGATAAATTAAATTATCTTCAAATAAAATTGCCCATTACTCTGATCAGTTATAGTATGAAGCCAGATCCGTATTATCAGCTACAAATTACGACAGGACACGTTCGAAAAGACTTTATAGCTGAAGGTAGTTAGCGTCGCAACAGGTGAACTCGACGACCAAGTACATTGCACGAATAGAAAGTGCCACAAGATATAGTATGGTAGAATGTAATAATTATTTTGTTATAGATTATTGACATGTTTTTTCAGCTTTATTTTTACCTATTATTATCATGTTTTATATCTATCTATGTTGATTTAATATAAAAAATATTGCACGATTTGGTGATAAAATAATTATTTTTGTTTGATTGAAATATATATAATATATAAGTTATAATTTAATATAATAATTTAATATAATATAATTTAATATATATATTATATATATATATATATATATAAAACATAAAAATGAATAAAATTAATGAACATAAATATTTATTTTTAAACAATGAAAATATAATAGTAAAAAATTGCAATTCACGTGCACCGGCATATTAACGAATATGTGTACATTTAACTTGATGATTCATTCAATTTTCTTTAGTGAATCATAATATCTGTATAATACTTTAGATAGTTACGATACTTCGTCTTGCTTTCAACAATAAAATATCAATGAAGTTCAATGTAATATTTGATATTGATATATAAGTATTTAAAATATAATTAATAAAATATAATTCAGCATATTTATCGTCAAAATTTAAAATAATATTTATAAAATATTATAATACTTATAGAATTTTGTATAAAATATATTAATTTAATAATTCTTATAAAGTAAAATAAAGTAAAATAAAATAAAAAATTTCATTTTTTATCAAAAATTACACGAAAGATTTAATTATTCATTCATAAAATTATATATTATCTACATTATTCATATCATTAAAAATTATAAAAATTATTTACATAACATACAAAAATATGTTCAATTTTGAAAATAATAGCTTAAATTTGCACATTTTATTTCAAATAATAATAATTATCATAATATAAATTATTCAAATAATAGAATTTTTAAGATTTTTTTAATCAATAAATAAGAAAAAAAAACAATAAAATTAATCAAATATCGAAGCTTTATATCCTATTCATGTTCTTGGATTTTTTTAAGAATCTTTAAAGAAATTTTGAAGAACAAATATAAACAAGAACAGTAAATATTGAGAGAATAGAAATAAAATCAAAATTCGAAAATCAGCGCCATCTTTAGAGTGCCGCAAATGAAATAGGTAAAGAAAAGATAGAGAATAATAAAAAGAAAATAGAGATAGAATTGACTTTCAGCGTCATCTTTTGTGTAACAAAAACATTTCTCTAAAATTACTTTTCTATAAATATTCAAGAGATGGCGTTGATTTTTAATTCTTATTTTATCCTTTTTATATAATATATAAATATATTTCATATATTATATAATGTGTGTGTTTTGATGACTTTGCTCAGCGATAATAATGAGATTTAAATAAATAAAAATTTATCCCAATAACAAAAAAGATCGATAGTAAAAAATTATTTATCGAATTAATTTTTTTTTGTATTTTATAAAACATTCTTAAAACATATAATTAACTATCTAAATATTATTATCGAATAAAAAATAGGAACTTAATATTATTGTTTTATAATGTTATTGTTTAAAGTTTGTTTGAAAGATTACAGACAAAATGTCAATTCACAAATTATTTTTATAATTTGACATTTAAAATGTATATACAACAACACAAAATCATATATTGTAAATATTATTTCAGGAAATTTAAAAATTTTTTAAAAAATATAATTTTATTTTTGGAAATATAGTTTATAGTTAATTTTTATTATAGAAATAATTTATGATATAATATCATATTATAATTAATTCGAAATAGACATTTCGATTCTAAAATAAATTATAAAAATTAAATTAAACGAAAAATACATTATAATATACATAATTGTAAAAATAAAAATTCATTATTTTTTTTTAATATAAGAAGAATGTTTTACACGCATATTTATATATACATATTTGCGAATGATGCCTATGAAATATTACTGTTTTTATTATGTTATTATACCGTCTTAAAAAGCTGACTCAACAGGATATAAGGATCTTATAACTATATTTTAATTCTATGTCAAAAGTTGCTACAATCATACATAAAAATATAAAAACGAATATAAAATACAGGTGTATGTATGCTCAACACCTGTTACTAGGCAACAGAAAAATCGATAAATACATTCGTCCACAGATTATCAATAGTTTTCTTCAGTTACTCTTTTTAACCGATACTCAAATGTACTTTCTTTCGAATCAACAATTCAAATGATCGATATTAAAAGAAATGGCAAATAAAATACGAAAGCAAAAAATAGCTGCCAATTACAAAGTTAAAGAACCTATAAGCAACTTTAAAATAAGGTAACATTTCAAAATTTCTAATAACAAATTTAATGAGTAACGCATAAAAATTTGATAAATTTCAAAAATTACAATTTGTGATATTATTCCTTTTTCTATTTATTCTTATATACTGCTGAACTATATAATTAACTTCAATTGTTGAAATGATCATTATAATGTGAAATAACGCAACTGTTTTGCCGCCGAAAACAGATATGACGATAGAATTAGATCTCAGCCATCTGGCAGAAATTGTTTCTATCTTGTAAATTGTATTTATCTTCTGCGTTTATTATTTCAGAGTCAAAATCGTACAGCAAAGGCCTTTGCTTGCAGAACTCTTAGAAAATGAAGGGGATACCAGAGACTCAAATTTTCTTGAAGAAGAAGATCGTATTTTTAACTGGCAAGAAAAAGTATTCAGTCCGTTCGAAGTGAGTTTTTATAGCAACGAGACAAATTGTTTAACTGAATCTCAAAAAGCATATTATCAAGAAATAAAAGAAAAAAATATCGAAGGTTCTCGACTTTATACCTATACGCAAAATGATTCTTATTATTTAAATGATGACTTATTAACGAAACCTTATAAGACAAAGCTAGCAATCAGAAATCAAACTGCATTACCGGTTTTGCAAAACCGCAAACCCTTTTCTGAAAGATACAATAAAATGGTTATAGATAATATACCTGATGAAACTAGGATTCGAACGAATCACTATCTTTATATGGATAATTCTACAATGTATGTCATGGTTGACTTATCTCAACAAGATAAAATCTTAACAAGTTCTGATGAGGATACGGAAATAGTGTTATTTGTTATTACGTACGATCGATTGCACAAAATTTTAACAGTAAATCCTGATTTTACGGACGATTATTATTACGTTATCACGAATTCCAGTGGAATTCAATTTAATTATTGGCTCGAACATGTTTCTGAGAAACAGTCATCGTTGGAATTACAACAACAACAAAGCGAAACGCAACGAGTAAGCATGTATATTATATTATAAAATGCATGTTTAAGTTATAAATCGTTCTTGTTATAAACCGGTTTTAGGATATTTCCATCTTATTTTTTTGCATTATATATTTAAATACATTTTTTAATATATTTCAAATAAAAAATATAAATGTTACCATATTTTTATTTTTTTTTTTTAATTGCATATCAAATAGTTACAATTAAATTATATATTATAATTTAAAATTTAATTAACTAATTTTTTAAAATTATTTTTATGAGGAATTATTTATATATTACGCAATCTTATTAAAATATAACGAAATATATACATACCCAACATAGGAGATTTCAGAAATTTGTCTCATCATTCTTTGTGGATAAAACATAATTTTTAAATTTAATAAAAAGTTGTCACTATTATTAATAATTTTTCATAATTAAACATGTGTTTCACGAAACTGATTTTAATTGTTTTATTTTGCACTTGGTTAAAATACATTTATAGGATGTAATTATTTTCATATTTAATTGTATATTTTCGACCATGTTATTATAGTGTAATCAAGATTTATCATTTATTTAAAATACATCTAATATATGAGAATGAAGTATATTAAACCGTGGTCTGAAATCCGACTGAATCCTATGGCACTGAATAGCTGCTTGAACACGTTTACACTTATACTGTCTGTCTACATATATACACAACCCACTTATATATCTTTCTGTTTATACATATATGATGGAGCAATACTGTCATTTAAACGGAAAAGTAACTTTCATACAATTTCGTAGTATTGCGATTGTATAATCTACTTCTATATATTTTCATGTTATATATACAAAATTTTTTTTTTATTGATAAAATTAAATAAAAATATATTTGATGCTAAAAATATTATAATTGAAGTATTCATTACTTTAGTTTAATCTTTATAATATGTCTATAACTATAAGTATAAAATTATTAAATATTATTTTAATTTTTATATTTTATAGGAAATTAAAGAACAACTGATACACAAAGAAGCAGAAATATTTCGAGGCATGCAATTAGTATTACCAAATGTATATAAATATTTTATAAAATTAGATATTTTATCAGCTCATGATTTCTTTTTTGATGGGCTTTGTATTTCTTATCATGTTTATTTGCCAGAACATTGGAGTACAAGTCAAAGTGATAATTTATTTGGAAGAACTCAAAGATGTAATTTAAAGAATAATTCAGCATATTTTAGTTATGCTTCACAAATATCACTAGAATTTCAATCAACCACTGAGCTTGATATGAATAATCTATCATCTTGGCCTCGATTCTTATTATCAGTTACATCACTTGATAGTTGGTTTAGGTAAATCAATTAAACATTTTTATATTTTAAATAAAAATAATAAAAAAAAAAATTAAGTTTAATTCAATAATTAAAAATTTCAGATATCGTACAGAAGGTTATGCAGCTATACCTTTGCCTGTACTGCCTGGTTTATATAAATTCAATATTCCTACTTGGCGACCATCAGGAAGTATTATTAATTCTCTTAGAAGATTTTTCACAGGTGGTACTTATGAACTAGAAGATATAACTTTCTGTAGTATTCCCAAAGGACATGAAGATAAAATATTAAATAAATCACAATTAAATGTTACATCAAGTGGTTATATAAAATTAAAAATGAATATCATTCATCAAACTCATAATTCAATTAAAAATAATCATCAATTAGATTATTTTCAAAAACTGAGTACAGATAAACTTATGTCTAATATAGACAATATTTTTGAACAATTTAAAGCAGCCAGAGAACGTATGTTACAAATTCGAAATTTAAATATTTAATTATTATAATATTTAATTATTTAAACTTAAATAATCAATAACTATAAAAAAAATTACATTTAAAATAATCTGTGATATATTGTAAGTAATAATAAATTTCAATTTATTGAAATAATAATTTATAAAATAATAATTAAAATATTTTAATAAAATTCTTTAATACTATCTTTATTTTTTTTTATTTACTACTATTACTATTATTTTTTTAATACTTTTAATAATATATATTAAAATTATATAATAATAAATTATATATAATTTTTTAATAATAAATTAAATTTATTTTTGACAAATCGAAATCTAAACAACATGACAATAATATAAGTTAACTATTATTAAATATTTTTTAAATAATAATCTGTTCATTCATGATTACTTTACTTGAGTTATTCTATTGAATGGATTTTAAATAAATATCAAGTTTTTAATTTCTTAATATAAAATAATAATATAAATGCAATTTTGGAATATTTATTTGTTAAACTATAAATATATTCTGTCAAATATTGATTGATATAATGTTTTTTTAACTATGTTACATTTATTATATTTAATATTTAAATTTCTTTCTAGATATTTTTAATATTACATAAAGAAAAAATAAAATAATTATAAATAAACACATCCAAAATAATTCGTGAACAATATGTGAAATTATAGATTAATATTTTATAAGAAACAAAAAGTTTCTATTATTAATATTCCTGAAAATATATTTTTTTTATTTTCTTAAAATTTATTATTTTGTAATAGCCATCTAAAAACATCCTAATAAAAAAAATTATATAACATGATATTAGTATATTCAATTATGCACTAAATAACATTTTAGAATTCACTGTTATTTTTCAAATGTGGAAAGAAAAATTCGATATCTTTTTTCTAAAATATGATTAACTAAAAGACTAGAGTAAAAGTGCAAACATACATCCTATAGACTTTTCAATCATTGTCTTTTTTTTGCTGCTTTTACTGCTTTTGATTTTTGTTTTTCTCCACCAGATAAAAATGATGTTATTACCTCAGACATTTCTGGCATATTATAATTAGTGAAATTATTTAATTGTTCCATTTCCTAAGAAAAATAAAAATAATATTAAAATATAAATTCAACATATATTATATTTACATATATTTTTATTATATATTTTTCATCATCATATAATAAATTTATGTAATTATATGTATAATTGAAATATTTACTAACCTTTCTGGTTTCAGGATCATTCATAATTTTTGGTATAATCATAATTAACAATAATGGTAATATCATCATTAAAACCTACAAAAATTAAAAAAAAATATTTTCATTTCTTTTTCTCTTTACAAATTTATAAAATAATAATAATTAAAATAACAATTTTACCATTGGATTAAATAAAAAGTCTGTTACTCTCCATTGTTCTCTAACTTGAAAATATCGAAATGGTGTTAAAGGTCTCATTTTTAATGGATAAGGAACTTGTATTACTTGTGATGTCTGAATCAAATTAACTTTTCTTGCTCTGAACTTTCCTTTTGAGTTAATTTCTACTCTTATAGGTTCATAAACACAGTTTGGGTTTACAACCTCGATTACATATGATCCTGATGGTACATTAGAAATGATAAATGTTCCATCTTCTCTATAAATGTTAAATGCAAAGTAAAAAATATTAACATTTTTCATATTCCTAACCTATATGAAGTTTTAAAAAATAATTATTTTATATTATTTCTATGTCTTTGATTAATTGATTACTTTTTTATGTACAAATAATATTTTTAATCTTTAGCATTTTGAAAATATTTAACGCATATTTACCTTAAGAAACCATAGTGTTCTCCACCATTAGCCATGACATGGGTCATTAATTGCCAGCCACTTGGAGCTCCATTTTCCCATGGAAAAACTTTTCCTTCGATAACATATAAATCTGTCGATACGTCTTCATCATTTTCGGCAATTACATATTTATTGGAGATGTTGACAATAATAAAAAGTAGAAAAATAAAACTTTTATACATAATCATATTGGATGAGCTTCCACATACAAGAAGTTTAATGTTAAATGTCTAAATATGCCAGTATAGTAAACTATAGAAAATTTTCACTAAATAATAAATTTTTGAAAATTATTCTAAATAATATTTTTAATATTCTTAAAACAGAAAATTTCATTATACATTCTAAAAATTATATTAAATATATTGAAATAAGCAATATATTTGACAAAACAGGATATAAACTATTTAAAGTTGTATATAATTTATGTTGGTAATACTGAGGTAACTAGTGAGTACTAAGCGATTTTTCGATCTTCAAACATTGAAAGTAATGTTATTGAAGTGCGTTTGATTGTAAATCTTCAATTAATCTAAAAATATATATTTATATTATTGAAGAAATTCAGAAACAATAAAAATATTAAAATGGATGACAAATTACGTCAAATGGAAGATGAAATGAACAGGTATAAGATAGTTATAAATATATTAGAATCTTTCTAACCTATTTGCACTATTCTTTTATTTTATCGTTTCTTTGTATATATTCCCTTCTTTTTACCTTGTAACTAATTATGTCATTTACGTTTTTAAAAGTATTGCATCGTTTGTAATTTACATAGTAAATTGTACTATGTGGCTCATTTATTATAAAGCAAATAAATTATTACAAGTTTAGATAAAGGTAACTGTATGATTAAAAATTTATGACTAAAATAGAAATCTTTTTAATTAATTACAAATTTAAACTTATTTTTAGGTTTGAAGCTGAAATTGGTGGTCAATTAGTTACACCAATAGTCAGGCCTGTTATTGGTGCAAATACATATAATCAAGTAGCTAGACAGTTAGAACAACACGAACTTCCAACACCAGTTGTTGCTGCTGCTGCAGCTAGTTTAGCTTTTCCTCCAATGATTGGATTTCCACCTCCACCTCCACCACCACCGCCACCACCTCCACCACCACCAATGCTAATTCCTCAACAAGTAGCAAGACAAGGTTAGTGATTACAAAATATTTTATATATTATAAAACTTCTATTAATAATAAATAAAATATTTTTATTTATCAATAAAATATTATTTCGTATAGGTACGGTTCCTTCTATTACAACATATTCATCACCTGCACAGATAAGTAATCCATATTTACCAAATATGGTGGATCCGTGTTTAAGTGCTACTCCAAAAACTTATGAATCTACATCAGCACCAATGATTCATCCAGAAATTATTGAACAGATTATCAATACAAAGATCCCTGAAGATGACAGCAAAAAGAAACCCAAGGTAAAAGGAGTTAGTACTGCAGCAGAATTAGCAATTAGTCAAGGAAAAGCAAGTTCTATCATGGCTAATGCTAGTGCAGAAGAAACTCATCCAAAAGGTAAAGGGAAAAAAAATAAAAAAATTGTACGAATGGCTGGTGGACAAATATGGGAAGATCCTTCTTTGCTTGAATGGGATGAAGGTTAATTATTTATTTATATCTGTACTGTTCATATAATTTATTTTTAAATATATCTTACAATTTTTTTTTTATATTATAGATGATTTCAGAATATTTTGCGGAGATTTAGGAAATGATGTCACAGATGAAATGCTAGTAAGAGTTTTTGGAAAATATCCGAGTTTTCAAAAAGCAAAAGTAGTGAGAGATAAAAGAACAAACAAGACAAAAGGATTTGGATTTGTATCTTTCAAAGATCCACAAGATTTCATCAAAGCGATGAAAGAAATGAATGGTAAGTTAATAAATAATTTTTTTATTATAATAATTTAGTTATTGATTTTATAAAAAAAAAAAATAAATCATAATTTTATATGTAATGAAATAGAATAAGATTTTTTAAAAAGAAAATTTGATAAATGTATTAATATATAACGATTTTCTAAATATTATATAATAATTATTCATAATTAATAAAATGAAAGAAATTTTTTATATATTAAAGACATTGAAAAATACTTAAATATTTACAGATAATGTTATTATTGTTTGTGAATACCTTAAAATTTAGAATTGCAATTTATCATGAATGTATTAAAATATATAACACTTATTTAAAACTATAAATAATTAAATATTTCATATACCACAATTATGAGATCAGTATTCCTTTTGAACAGTCATATTTTAAGTAGTGAATTCTTATCATTTGCCAAATGGACCCCATCCATATGATATAAAAAGTTGTGGTATTATCGAATATTGTCTTCGAGTACTTCCGTTACGTACTGCAATGCGAGAATTGGAGTGCATTGTAGCTGGTGTCGTAATTTCAATTTTTCTTTGTTCTTGTTGTTGAACAGTACCTTAACATATATATGTACCATGTGTATTTATATGTCTACATAATAATATATTATTATTTTCTTTCTCGTTTAATGTTTTCTTACTGGCATGATTTCCACGAGAACCATGTGATTTCATATAAAGAACGGAAAAGGGCATGCCACCGGCACTCCAACTACGAGACATAACAACATCCTTCTTCGATAGTCTATTTCCAATTTTGCTACCAAATGTTGAAGTTTGATAAAACTTATTTAATGGCGCAGAAGTATCATCCCATGTCTCTATTATTGTATTTGGATCTAAGTTTGAAGCTTGTCGTTGAATATTAATTCTACAATCCATAACAACATCATTTTTTAGCATATATGGAATAATATGAAAATTGAAGGATTATAAAAAGTATATAAGAATTATACTTCGACATGGATAAATTTTCAGGTATAGTAGGAACATCTTTTTGAACTTCTTGCATTGGTAACCATTCCGAACATTTTCCATTCGTAGAACACTCTGATGTGACTATGGTATTCAATTCATTTTTTTCCAACGCATTCTTTAAATCAAGTAATGGTACTGCTTGACATATTATCCATAATATGTTCAATATGAAGACAAAGATGATTGCAGCAAACATTTTTTTTCTTTTTTCTGTCTCAAATGTATTTTTTCGGTCGATATATTATTTCTCGTGTTCGTTTTTAATGTTTTCACTTCCGTGAAACGATTCGTTAATGTAGATACAGCGGTGTGTCGTTTTCTTTGTCGAATTCTGAAAAGTATTGTAAAAATTGTGATAAATTTTCAATGTAATATATGCAGTACAGCGATGATATAAATTTAATCAAAATGTGAATGATTCGTTGTTCACATCACATGAGTTGAGCTTTGTGATGATCGGATGTGATCGTTATTAGACTGGTCACAAATTTTCGAATTTGATGACATCCAGTTATGCTGTTTACATTTTCGAAACATTTCTGCAATGGTTACGTACTATTTATACAACATTCCTGCTAAAATTAGTACGGTGAATAATCAACTTGCCGATTTTAGTGACCATGGAATGAGATTGAGGTGGAGTAGCGACATTGTCGCTCGTTGACAATGAAAGAGATGCGTGATTTGGAGGATCAAAGGATCTTTTTCAAAAGATTACTAATTTGTTTTTTTTATTTAAGAAATGTTTTGTTGTATTTTTTATTTTTGTTTATTATTTTTATTTGTTTGTATTAGCAAGATATAAGAAAAATATGATTTAGAATAATTTTATAAAAAAAAAATGATTGTTATGAATTTTTTGGTATTCAATTAATTAATAAAAAAATATAGAATTATAGAATAATAATTTTTGTTTAGCTATATTTTGTTATTATATACGCATAAAGAAAGTAAAAAAATAAATTTACACTAATTAAAAATTATTGAAAAAGATAAATGAATAGTAAAAAAATATTAATACTTAAAATTTTACTCTTTGAGAAATTTAATAATTAATCTTCAATATCTTATACTTACATTGCTACAAATTTTCACATTTATTATATATATAAATGTTTTAATGATTTTCTGTCACGTTGTGTTACTTTGTTAGAAAAGAAAAATAATGAAATTTAAAAGAAAAAAAAATTTTTAATTTATTTTTTAATTTTGCTTGAAAAATAACTGAAATATTTATAAATAATTAAGTTTTTATTTTTTTTTCATTCTATACAACAAAATTTTTATATATATATTTTAATTCGAAATTTTATATTTTAATGTATTTCTTGGTTTTTTTTTTAATATTTCTTATAATATTCTTTATAAAATATAATTTAAAAAATTTTTGTTATTAGCAAAGGAAAATGAATTACTATGCTTTTTAATATTAATTTCTTTAATTTAATTTTAATTAATATTAATTTTAATTTAATTTAAAATTAATTTGTTTTGTAATTTCCGTTCTTTAAAAGAACTCTTACTTAAATATTTACTTAAATATTAAGTTTAATTAGTACAGAATACAATTTTTCTTATAATTATTTTAATAATTTTAGCTCTAATAATGGCAATTTTATTCTTTTATTCTTTTATTCTATAAAAAGATATTTCTTCTTCATATTTTAATTTCATGTTCATCTGAAGAAATTATTTCATGAATCTTAGCTTTATTTTTTTTTATTTAAATTTATTTAAATATTATTACTATTTAATATATCATATTATATCATATTATGAAATAAAAAATTCATAATTAATTTTTATTTCAAATTTCAACAAAGTATGCAATATAATTGCAATATAATTCTATGTAATTCTAAATATAATTCTAAATATTCCTCCAAGAAACTATAATTTAAAATTAAGAAAATTTTTCCTATAAATTCATCCATAGACATAGAAAAAGAAAGAAAAAAAAAATAAAAAATTGATCACTTTGATTCTACAAATTTAAATATTCTCTCTCAAAAAAAAAAACTATAGTATGAGAAAAAAAATATAAAAATTTTCTTCAACTTCATAAATTTAATGTAAATGTGCTTTTTTAAAAAAAATTTTTTAATTGATATCTAAACGTAAGTAAAAAAAAGAAAAAAAAAACTTACCGTGGACACAGCCGTCTGTTCGTTCAGTCGATTTCTCGTTTAAAGAAATTCGTGGTGTCGGCTGTTCGTATATCGCTCGTGAGTTTGGCGCGCGAATACGGAATCGTTCGAACATCCGTTACCCGTCGGGGTGATTGTGACGGAGTGTGTTGCGACGTCGGT